GTCGCGTCAGATCTGTCGGTCCAAGGCGACTCAGGGGCGAGCACGATACAGCCTTGGCCCGTGGAGGCTATACGTTTAGCGGTAGATAGTTCACGTTTACTACCACATCGTGCGGAGGCAGTGCTTGTAGTTCGTGTCGGTGAACCTCACGGGCGAGCTCGAGGCGGATGGCGCAAGGACATTCGTTTTGACATTCAGTAGGGTTATGCAGTCTTTAAGGAGAAATGTTTATCGAAGTTCAACGAGGTTTTGAGTACCCCAGAAGCAGTTAAGCGGCCGATTCAGCTTCCAGAAAACGTGGGGATTTATTTAAAACGATCTCGCAATGACTCACAAGAAAAATATGTCTTGCTCACCCCTAATAATTTTACGGCAACATTACACCATCGATGGAAACTGCTGACACCTGGGGACTTGGCACGCATTGGTGACTTTCGGTTTGAGGCATTTCTATACGTGCAGCGAGCGACCCCACCCGAGCAGTTCCACCGCGCAACTGCACAGAGAATACAAAATGCAAGGGTCCAAAGAATGGCATACGAAGCTACCAACTCTATTGCGTTTGGTGCAATCACAGCTCATCATCTTGACGTTATACATGCTCGATGGCCTGATGGCACAGCATTTGAAGTTCCTTCGGATAATACGACATCTCAAGCCATTGCATTAGACCAGACGCGTGAAGCAATGCGCCGTGAAGACGATGCCGCCGAATCCACAAGGCAAACTGGTGTCGTGACACTGAAATTCAATGGACTGTGGATGCCTGTGGAGGTGGACGTCATTTCATTAAGACGTGCAATTGGGCTACCAGATCATGACATATTCACACAGGGTATATTTCACCAGTTTAACCCAACACCTGCAACCAACCCAACCATGGAAGATGTCGACCATTTAAAAGATGAAGAAATGCAAGAGACATAGGCGCAATTTGGTTAAAAGACATTAAATCCCAGAATAATTTCGTACTCAACACACTACGGCATTCTCACTTGTCTGCATCAGATCATGAAATACTTGTTCCCTGAGCCCATTGCAAAGATATCCACAGTGCTGATAGGCTCCAAAGCAGCCACTCTCACTACGTCGAGTACATGCACGCATAGCTACATCTAAAACCTGCTCTGGATACAGTGGAAACACCAAATTGGCGTACTTTTGTAGCCAACGCTTTAGCTGGCCAAAGCATTGCTCAATGGGGTTCAAATGTAAACAATATGGTAAGAATAATAAACGTGCTCCACATTGATAAATCGCCGCTTGTAACTCCGGGTAGCAATGAATTTTTGCGTTATCCATTATCACGATAGAACGAGGAAGTGGCCATGGGTTAAGCTTCTGTACCACTCGACGGAGAAAAGCTTCGTGAAACTTTTCGCGGGTGAATGTGCCTTCGGTCCATTCCCACCCAAAAAAACCGTGAACATCGAGAGCGGCTAGCACGGATAGACGTTTGCCACGTCGAAACGACAGTTTGACTACGGCCTTCGTATTTCATTTTGACCATCCATATCGACGATAAGCATGACGGCCGTCTTTCGCCGTTTCATCGAGAAAAACCAACTGCTCAGCGAAAGAGTAAAGTGACAGCAATTTTGACGGTATACACTGATTTCAGCAGGAACAGCTTCGCGTGCCGCCTTTTCTAGCACTTTACGACTCAAATTAAGATCGAAATTTAGTGCACGACACAACGTTGACGGCGATACGTTGCTAAGTGTAGAAACATGCTTGATAATATTTTCGCGCAGCTCCTCGATGTAGAACGTTGGGTGAACTCGAACATATTTTTCCACTGCCTGTAGAACTTCTGATGGCCAGCGCGTTTGTTGTTGCCGTTCACAGTGCTCGTTGACAACTCCACCTTTTAAAACAGCGCATACCATCGGCGGAGCGTTCTCTCCTTTGGTCCCAGAAGCTCAGCAACGTGTTCTATAGGAACACCGTAGACGTGAATCAGTACCACACTTCTCCAACGAAAGTCATCGGAGTAGGTCATGGCAGTTTAGGCTGTATTTGACAAGTAATGCTGTCAGTCCGTTGATTTTGGCTACTGAACGTCCATGGAAAGCCCGCTCACCACTCATATTAGCCGCTGAATGTCGGCATAACGGATTGAGCTCTCCTAAACAGCACCAGTTTTCATTAACCCTAACTGCATTTCAGGTCATGAAAGGCACAATAATACTACTTTATATTAAGGCGATTGTTAGAAAATATTAGTTCTAATAACATTAATGAGCAAGCCGGCAGATTTTAGTAAATAGTAATAATAATACTATTATTAGAGCACGGCATCTCAGTGAGCCCGCCAAATTTCCGGGTTGACTCGAGAACTCGCAGAAACATATTTAGATGGCAAAACCGATGAACCCTGAATATGCTTACCATAGTATGATACTTATTCACAAACAAGCGCCAATTCCTCCAGAAGCGGTCTGGCTGCGGTGAAAGTTGTTGCTCTCAACAGCGTCATCGTTTTTCTGTTTCGTTCCACACATCACTTCTGTCACTTCTTGTATTCGTAATCTTGCACACACAGTTCAGCAAAGTCCAAGCGTAACCAGATAGCACATGGCTGATACCTTAGGATGTAATGCATGCTTAGTGCATGTGACTCGCACTTACATTTATTCGACCGGTCTCCGTTATCAGATACTACGTAGTAGCTCAAGTATGCTGTACAGGCTGGTAGTACCGGTACAAACACATCGCGCTGATTCTGAAATTTACAGCTGATCCTTCTTTTAATTAGTTTAATAGTTATCTAATAATTTCTCTATTTCTAGGTAATAATTTCCCGCTAATAATAACCATTATTCTTGGCAGTAGTTATAATTTACAGTACTATTAATATAACTTATTTTGTAGCATTAGTGGCTTTACCAGTACCGGTATTACTTTTCCCTGGTGGTTTAGTTATTGTCTTTTTAATTTATTTATTACAATAACAAGTTTTGCGACCAATTTGGTACATGTAGGAGAACTCCGTGTTTGATGGTGTTTTTAATAAAATATAATATCTTTAAAGGTTTGTGCGGTAGGTGTACTGTGCCTGAGCAGGACGAGCACGTGACACGTTTGGACTCAGACCCCATAAAAAGTTTTGGTACAAGTCTATTCTGGAAAGGACATTTCCATTTTGGACCTGCAAAACGTCGTCTCGCGACTCAGGCGGCTTTCAATCAACCGTGCCACACCGTTAGCACAACAAGAAAGTCGACCAAAAGGCCTCCAGCAAAACACAATACGTAAACTGTAAAGAGGTACAGTTACACTATGTATGTCCATGTCATCAACATACCGAGGCCCGCAGTTCGCTCCAAATCTTGTACCGGTACTGTGAGACATCAGAGACCGGTAAACCGGTTAAAACAATCACAAAGAGATTATGCACTGAACTGTTTACGACGTAATCGCGTCTCTGGCAATCATTACACAGGCAACGCGTGCTTTGACCGCACATTTACGGCAGGAGAAGTACGAATTTACTTGCCATTCACCATGTACTAGGTGCCGTGTAGCCTACACGGCACCTACACTGTAGGTACACTACTTTACAGTAATGTCAAGATGGATTCGTTACAGTACCGGTACGCAACAGTAGCAACAATTGTATGGGTCCGTAAAAATCGGCCATCAATTTCTGGTCAAAGTCAAGTCCTGAACAACAGTCCACCCCGTCAAAGTCTAAATTTCCATTTACCTGTATCCTTAAATAAGACTCAGTTGTGTGTGTGTGTTTTTTTTTTCTTCTTCTCGCTATGCACTTGAAGGGCCTCATGGAGAGTATCAGATTTTAGTGCTTGTTGCCTACCCGACGGTAGAAATGGAGTAAAGGCGCCTTTGTAGCAGTTTAGGCGAGAATAAACAATTCTAATTCTCAGCTTCTAGAGGACAAAATTGCAAAAAACACCGTTTGAAACGGTGTGCAACGCTCAATGCTTAATAGCACCTTTCGGGGCGGGGCGACGCAGCTATGGCGCCAACTAAGGCGAGCGGGTGCGAGGTCGCGTAGCCCGCGAAGCAGGGCCGCGCGGTATTTGCGGAGGCGGGCCCAGCGCCGAGCTCACCAGCGAGCCGCGCATTGCACTTCCCAGTTTAGAGGATCTATTAATCGCGAGCGAAGCGAGCCCCAACTGAGCCCGTTTGTGGCCGATTTTTACAGGACAATTGACGATTGCATCTCCAAGACGATTACGAACGCAAATCGAGCAATCTTCAGGCTTCGAGTCCCCCAACCTCGCAAGCTGATTCCACTCATCTCGTTCAGTGGGCAGTGCCCACTGAACGAGATGTTGGCACATGGCGCCTTTTCAAAAATATCGTTTCTGTTAAAACTTTGAATTTACGGTTGAAACTTTGTGGAAACGTTGCGCTTTGTTTCAGCAATACAAAACAGCCGTTTGTTTGAGGACAACGCATCCAAAACACCAAGTTTTGCAGGATAGCACCTTAGCTTTGTTTTGACTTGGCATTTGTAAGAGCAGCCGGGAGGGATTACCCGGCTCTCCTGTGAAAGGGCATAATATAATGTAAGAGGTCGTTAGCAGCCGCGATTCGCTTGGGTGCGACGTTCCCATTTTTAGGTGACACATCTTCCAGGGACAGATCGTTAAAAGACGATCTGCCGCCTGTTTATGACAGATGTCATCTATGAGGTTTTATCGATGAGGTTTTATTTTTTCACAGTTGTAGCTAACCATGTGAATGGTACACAGTACAGATTTGATACATGAACAATTATCGTCGCTAGACCGTACTTTGTAGTACTAGAAAGGTTTAAAACGCTCGCTGTACTTTTCAAATGCATCTTTTGTAGATGCAAGTGGCGCGACTGTTTCGTACCGACCAACTGGTCACGTTTAGTCACAATGATGGCGGTCGGTAAACAAACAGGACTAAGCCACAAATACAGTACCATATTTACCGGCTCTAGCCGGTTTCAGCTTAGATACGGCAATTGTTTGCACGAGTTATCAGTCCTGAGCGTTTACGAGCTCCAAATCCCTGGATCTGCTGCCATTCTCACGCCATCAGGGATTTTAAACGGCCCCGTTCTATCTCAACGCCACGTGATACTTCAGAACGAAAATTGTTCACTGGGCACAACTCGCCACCAAGAATCGATGAACCGCTACCCTTTTGCCGCAAGACCGACGAGCGATTACCTTGTGAGCCTCGTGCGTCCGCGAGCACCCGCTGGTCGTTACCACGCCAATGTGGTGGGGACCGCGACTCCTTTCGAGGAGGCCGCGATAAGCCCGTGCGATACGCACGCAACAGCTAAGAACCCGCTTGTCGATCATCCGCTGTTGCACGATGAGCTACGAGCCGAAGGCGAGGCCTCAAACGCACTTCTGTCTCTAACTGGGAGGTCGAGCAATAGGCCAACGATGGCGCTGAAGGACATGAACCAAAGCCCAGCCAGACTCATGGAGACACACAAGCGCAAGCGGGAGGTCGCCAACAAATCTCGGCGCAGGGAACAATGTCGGGCCAACCAAGCGCGATACCGAGACAAGCAGAGGAACGCCCAGGTGCAACTTAAGCGAAAAGAGCTGGATACTCTGAAGCGTCGATATCGGGACTTGGCCTCTCGTGAGAGGAGCAACCAAAGTCCGTGGAGTATTGTGGCTGAGGTCTTCCGACTTCTCGAAACCAGTTTCCACTCGCCCTGGCGTGTGGCCAGTATGCAGGAGATGAAGAACCACTCGGAGATTCGCCAAGTCTTGGCCATTCTGGAGCGATCGTTCGCGCACGACGCGGCAATGGGCGAGCTGCGAGGTGCTGACGAGCTGATGGAGCAGCTGCTGCTGTTCTCGCAGTACTTTGGAAAGCCCCACCTGAAGCTCCAGCGGATTGAATCTGTAGCCCCTGGTGTCATGGCTGCACGAGCAAAGCTCAGTATAACGGTGACTGAGTTCACGCTTCGTCATGCGTTTCCTCATTTGGAGGAGCCGGCAAGTGGAGATGACCACGTCCTCCTTTACCAGCGCCTTTTGGGTCAGCGTTTGGAGTGCAACTGCTCGTTGAATTTCCTATTTGACGAAGACAGCGATCGCGTTGTACGCCTGGAGATAAACATCGACTTGGCCTCTACTCTACTTGATGTGCTCGGTAGTCTGACGGACGTATCAAACGTGCTTGAGCATGCTCGAGTTTCGTCCGAGTGTGTCATTGGTGGTGTTTTTGGCAATTGCCGAAGCAGCGACTGCACTAGCTTGTAGAGAGTTTATTTTATCGCTTACCTTTTATAAGTGATCGTGTTGATGTTTTAATTAAATTCTTGCGACATCAATAAGAAGGACGAAAAAAAGCGTTCAAACGGGGAAACCCCGCTAAGGCTGGATTGAAATATCAGTAGACACAAAATCCAAGTACGCTCAAAGCTTCTAATTGCTGTCGTCCGAGAACAGCAGCAAAAGTAGTACGCATTTACTTTCCACATGTCCGCGTACGATTGGTTGGTCTCATCCGCATGTACGGGCGCAACAATCGAATATTTTGAGAGCTTTACCACGACAAGCAGGTTCTTACTAAATAATAATAGTTGTATCCATTCTTGCTTAATGTAGCACATGGTGGCGACGGATCAAGAAGTTGGCGGAAGGTCCGGAAATGATGCACGATCGCAAAATCGGAGCGCTGCACCCTCAGTAAAACGTTGCACGAATGTTGCATGATCTCAAACTTGTGACCTCGTGGAGACTTGGTACACGGTACCAGGTGCTCTGGGAGCCAGTCAGGGCATGACTACTTAGCTTCACTAATGGTGACCTCTAGTTCGTAAAGAACCCAATCTAAGCTTGCTTATAAATACACCAGCCTTACATCTACTATTCTAAGTAGCAAACCGTTCCCTCTGAGGCCGGGAACACGTGGACTAACGCTCACTCGGGTAGTATACGCTTAAGCGCTTCCTCTGTGCAAGGTGCTGTGTGACCCCGTCATACTTGGTACCACTCGTAGTCAATTCTTCACCTTCGCGGGTAGATTGAACTACCTGAATCCTCTGTGCACTCAACGTTTGAGCCCCGATGGACCGAAGTGAGTATCCTGGCTTGAACGACTCCCAGTACGAGTATGTTCGGAAGATGGGAGGCATCTTTGGACAAGATGTCCTCCGCAGCTTGGCGGCGGCGACGCCTGCCGAGCAATACGAACGTGTGGCCGCGTTTGAGACCTACGAGCGTGGTCTCGTCGCTCACGTCCGCGGGAGTTTGGAGGCCGCGATGGCTGCTTTCCAGGCAACCAGGCCTTCGCCGATAAGGCTGGAGGTTACTCGCATTTGAGGGTAAGGAAGGAGATAATCTTCACTTCTGGGTCCGTGAGGTGGGGATTGCCATGAAGGCGGGTCTCATCTCGGACGAGCCACTTCGGGTGGCTTTTGTCCTGTCTAATCTTGGTAGACATGCCTAGCACCAGGGAGACGACATCTCCTGGATGCTTTGCATCCTGGGCTCAGCTGTGTAAACAGCTTCGAGCCGCGTTCTTACCGGCGAACAACGAGTTCCGCCAGCGCTCACTATTTCTCGCGTGTAAGCAACGTAAACGTGAGCTGCAGGAGTACTGACAAGAGATGCGCACGCTGGTGGTATCTCTGGCAGGGGATCCTCTGCCTGAAGGCATCAAGACAACAGTCTTCATGGACGGCCTGAAGGTCGGTCCTGCTCGCACCCAGCTATTCCAGGTGCAAGCGACAACTATGGAGGAGGCGATTCGAATCGCCCTCCAAAACGCGTACAGCCACAAACAGGCTAGTACTCCTCGGGAAGAGGAACATCGCCACGATGAGGATGGCGTTCCTTGGGAGGCGAAACATCTCAGCAATGATGCTGTTGCTCCTGCTGTCACGCAGCCCGTTGATACAGGAGCGCACCGCGATCCCAAGCCCACGGACTGAAGCTCAGCCGAGAGCTTCGACCGCTGCTACAGATGCAGCGGACATGGACACTATCAGCGTGTATGTCCCTCGCAAGTCCTCGGGAAGAAGACAGCCCGTGGACCCCAAGTGGCTCAGGCCACGGACAGGTGGACGAAGACTCCCCGGCCACCAGTAGAGGCGGTACGCTCTACTGAAGAGCGCTAAGGCTTCGTGATGGGTGTGCAGGCTGTGCGCACCACGGGACTTAGCCCAGAGAGACGTGGCTCTCTCAAACCGGTGAAGGGCAGTGAAGGAAGTACCAATGGTCCTCAACGGACCTGAACGTTTGGGTTCGATGAACTCGCGCACCGCGGTGTCACTCGCGGTTCTCGCCATAAACAATATGGCTGTGCCGAACATAAGGCACATCCTGTGGCAAGGCTGAGAAGGGTTTGCCAGGTCAGGTCTGGCAGATTATTGGTGAGTCATGCTCCCACCTCCGTCATGCCTTGGACGTCTGATACAGACCGCCAGGTCGCAGAAGCATCACGGAGCTGTCAACGCGCCGACAGCTCTGCGTACAGCAAGACCATGCTCCGCTGCGGCAATGCCACGGGCATGGGTCTTTTGCCCAGCGTGTGGACCTGCTACACTAGCAGCGCTCAACGCCGAAGGTCGTCGCGCCGTACGGGCTTCGACAGTGGCTATGCATATTAGCGCTAACCAGGTGGGTAGCTTAGAACCACACGATCACCCTGACCTTAACTGAAGAGGAAGACGCTGGATGCGCTTCCTGTGTGGGTAGCACAGTACCACACGCAGCCGCCCATACTACAACTGAAGAGGAAGGCATTGGCCATGCTTCCTGTGTGCGTAACACAGTACCACACCTAGTCGCCCAGACTATAACTTAGAGAAGAAGGCATTGGACATGCCGCCTGTGTGAGTAACAAAGTGCCACACGAGGTCTTGCGTGCCTCTGATGTCGTCAACGAGACATCCTGACTTGGGTAACGAAGTGCCACGTCACGTTAGCCGTCGCAAGTCGGGTCTGAACCTTGTTCAGGCCGACGCGACTTGGAGTCCAGGGCCCGGACTCCTCTGATTCGGTCGGTGGACACCAACTCTGTCCGGTGTGTGTGCGGGTCTGCCACGCCAGCAAGTTCCGCAAGCAGCGAAGCAGCTTCAGGAGACCGACATTCGGTGCTCCGAGCGTGGGTAACAGAGTTCCACGCAAGGTCACTCAGACCAAAACTGATAAGGAAGTCGCTGTATGCGCTTTCGGTGCGGGTAACATAGCTCCAGACATCAAGGCGAGTAACACAGTTTCGCAACCAAGGTGGGTAATAGGGCTCCACAACTAAGGCGGGTAACATAGTTTCGCACACAGAGCCATTGTCTCGAGGCGCGAGGCTGTCTTGACCTCGCCAGACGTGAGCAACTCGCTCGACGTCAAGCTGCGCAGACTCAAACTGCTAACGCGGTCGTCCATACCGGCGCAGTGCACGAGGCAGGTAGCCGTCGTGCTGCCAGTGGCTATCACAAGCCACGAGAGACTCAACGGTCTCAAGTGTAACTGGAGGAGAGGCTCGGAAATACCTTACCTCCCTGGTCTTGAGGTAAGACCAAGTTCCTTACGTCACCAGGCGTCGATGTAGATCGACTGCAGGCGGGAGGCAAACAGGGCTAGAGCTGCAAAAGCTCTAGCCAAACAAGACAGAATGGCGACGGAGGCCACTGACGCTAGATGCCTCGGAATCGCTGAGCGCACCAGCAGTGTTGTGGTAGCATGCAACCACACACTAGGTGAAGCGCGGACGTGGTGCAATCACCGCACGGGCCCCTTGATCATGAACGACCTATCGAGTAGGGTGAACGGAACGTCTCACCCGCCGATAAAGCGGATGTGGTACGTGATGTACGCAACGTGCCGGGTATAATGGACCGTGGAGCCATAACCCAAGTGTGGTGCACGAGTGCACACACAACTGACCAGGTGGTGGTCGAGGCAACGCACGCAGTCGTAACTGGTACCGCGCCAAACATCACACCGTGGTGATGGCTGCTTGCCTCACCATGGTTCGGTACCGCATGGGTACTCGGTGTCAAGGCCAGCCACCAACGCCACAGTAGCATGGTGGTGAGATATGCCCCACCACGGTCGAGTATCAAGGTACATGGTGTCTATGACAGACACTGGTATGGGTGCAAAGGATATGCGCCATACCCTAACCACGACCCGATGCTGCTCTTGGCGTATGCGTTGTGAGTCAGTGCACGTACCGCGCATCGTCACTGGCTGCTGTCGAGCAGCCTGCCGGAAGTTTCACGTGATGAACTCGTCGTGCATGACACACATGAAGTGCACTGAGCACTTATGGTAGCTGTGGTACGTGTCGTACACAGTTTACATGGTGTATTGGTCCATGGACCTGTACACTGTGCTTGCACATGCGTCGTGCATGATGCGAGCACTGGCCATGAATCAGTTCAGGCGATAACACAACAGAAGTATCTGCCACCAAACATGGCAGCTTGTGATGGGCGTACCGCACCAAAGGTTAGTACCGCACGGTACATGGTGTCGATGGGAGACACCTGCACCACGAATGAGTATCATCACGGTACACGGTGGCGATGAAGGACACCTACGCGCCGCTGGCATGACGGCCACTACGCAAAGAGAGCTTGGCAGCTCCGCCCGCAAGGATGGTTTCTTGCTAGAGCCAAAGACATGGCCCGAGGTGATCTGAGAACTTCCTCTAGTGCTATTTGCTAGAGCCAAAGGCATGGACCGAGGTGATCTGAGAACTTCCTCTAGTGCTGGGGCAGGTGTTGCCCTTCGTTCCTCGCGGGAAACACCGTGCTCCGGACGCGTTCGCGAGGACTGTCGTGTCCTCTGGTGCAAACTGTGGGCGAATGCCACACGTTCGGATGTTATTGCACCCTGTACGCCCGCTAGCGCAGGAGCTAAGGCAGCTCTGAGTGTAGGCTTTGCGGACACCACAGTTGTGAGCATAGGTATGCAAAGCGCAGTAAACTTTGGGATCACAAGTCACTGTGAGTGTGAGTGAGAGCCGCGACAGTCTCGTGGCTGCTCAGTGTGAGAATTTACCTTTAAGTGTTATAACTATCTCATTTCTGATTGGAGAATCAGGTGATTCTCAGCTAAGTGGGGAGGATGTAACGAAGTACAATCCAGTGTACCCTCAAATTTTCTTAAGAGTGACCCGTCACTCTTGTGGACACCTGGTACACGGTACCAGGTGCTCTAGGAGCCAGACAGGGCATGACTACTTAACTCCACTATAGGTGACCTCTAGTTCGTAAGAAACCCAAGCAAAGCTTACTTATAAACATACC